AAGAAATAGCTTCAGAATTTTGGACTTCCTGGAATTTTCCAAATTGCTTAGGTGCAATCGATGGGAAGCATGTAACATTGTAACAATTCAAGCACCTTCTAACAGCGGCTCACAGTATTTTTGTTACAAAAAAACATTTTCTGTTGTATTATTAGCACTGGTCGACGCGCATTACAATTTTATAGCTGTAGATGTAGGATGCTATGGCAAAAATAGCGATGATGGTATTTTGAACCACTCAATGTTGGGAAAAGCTTTAGAGCAAAATAAACTGGATATACCAGAAAAAGCAGCATTGCCAGGTACAACAAATGAAGTACCATTCGTTATAATTGGGGACGAAACATTCCCCTTAAAAACTTATTTGTTAAGACCATATCCTGGCAAAAATCTTGATTACAATGAAAAAAGAATATATAATTATCGAATTTGTCGTGCTAGGAGAGTCGTAGAGAACGCCTTTGGAATATTATCACAAAAATTTCGAATATATAATAGGCGAATTCAAGCCAAACCTGAAAATGTTGATGTCATAATAATATCTACATGCATACTGCATAATGTTATTAAAAAGTACGATGGTAAACTAACCTATATACGAGATAATCAGCAATTCAATGCAGATCAATTAAGTGTAACTACACTAACAAATATTCCTATTCGAGGAGGAAATGCAACTCGGGAAGCATTTTTTATAAGAAACACTTTTAAAGATTTTTTTAACTCGTCCATAGGGTCAATCCCATGGCAAAATAATGTTTAATTTTTTTTAAATTTGTTATGCAATAAAACAATTAATGTTAAGTATTAGTTAAGATTATAATAGGGTTCATTTCAGTATACAAATTGAAATTGTAATAAATACTACTACACATTTATATAATTTTCTTAATTAGTAATTAAATAATAATAATTAATAATGTAATTTATATTATGTTACTTCTACTTCTAATTTCTATTTAAATATATATTATATATTATTATTATATATATTATTATTATATATTATATTATATTATGTTACTTCTACTTTAATAAATTACTTATTTAATATTTTAAAAGTTACTGGTTTGATTTAGTTCATCAGCAATACTTTTCCAAATTTTATCCTTACATGTACTGTCACTATATTTTGAATGACTCAAGTCATATAGTTCGTTATGCGTTCTTACGAGTTCAATTAATTTTTCGTTGTTCATCTTGAGATTTGTAAAGAAAATTTAGTGAATAGTGTCTTAAAAAAACGAGTATATAGTATATACTTACAACTGACTGTACTAATTGACGTATACAAAATAATAAAAATTAAAAACTTCTCAATGATAGGTGTCGAACATACACAATCATGCACATTGACTTCGGATACCTGTTCAGGCATATTCATACATGCATATTCATGGATATAGGTTAGGTTCATACAGGTTCGATTCGGCACCGTTCCGTATCCAAACTTGTCCGAGCTCGGACAGAAAATCGGTCAGCGACAATATTTTTTTGATCGGAGAGAGCTCGGAAAGCTCGGAACGGACGTGTGTGAATACATCCATTTCAAAACAAGAAGTTCATATTTCCGAGTACACGGATGCCCTGACGGATCGGACTCGGAACGGACCCGGATCGGATGTGTGTGAAAGGACCTTTAGCCGAAGTTTTAAAAGCGCGGTTTTCCGATGAATATTCCACATTCGGTATATTATATGTTGCTTCAAGCTTTAAATTAAATTTGATCGGATTTTTATTATATAAAAATGATATATTATATATTTTATGTTGTGTAATTTGACTAGTTTGAATTTAATCGAATCGAGAAAGTAGGTATAGTTTTGAATATATTCTAAGTTATACCAGGTGATAATATTGTTTGATGATGTAGATATTTATGTAAACCCTAGAGATTTTTTTCCCCTAACAGCGGATTTAGTGATGGTGGAACACGTTTGCCGTTATCGAGTGTAGTGTATGAATCTTTAAAAAAAAAAAAACTATTTAGCTTATAGCGCGTTTATAAAAAGAAATAGCTAACCTTGAAAATCATAAAGTCCAAGATTCTCAACGGTGTCCAAAACTTCCAAGCATTCCTCATCATTCACGATACTCCAAAATTCATCCATCGTGCTATCTCGCATGGGTGATAAGCGAACATTTTGTTTAGTTGATACACAATCTTTACGAGCAGACGCTGTACCAGGGGGCGGTCATCGTTTCCGCCAAAAAACTCTATTTTCGTTTCCGCCAAAACGAAAAAAGTTTGATTTTCATTTCCGCCAAATCTATTTCTACCTATATTATTGAGCTGGAGTTTGAGAACCCCTAGTCTGTCTGTAGTGCTATCGACCATCGATGTACATATACCATGTCGATAAGCCATTGTATATTGAAGATATCATAAAGAGATAATTGATTTTAAACGTAGAAATACCTACATAATATTACAAATAAATATAAATCGATTTGATCCATATCACGTGTAGATATATCAGCAGTGACTGTGTTATCGGGATCGGAGTTCTGTGATCGGATCTGTACTCACAGTACTGTGGTAACAACGACGAAATTAGGAGTCCACGTGAATCATGAATAATATACGTTTATTAATTATTGAATAGTATATTGGAATATTATGGAATTCATAACGAGTAAACGTGGTAAAAAAATGATTGTGATTGATGGGTTCAAATTTAATTTTTCGTACAAATCTGTCCAAAAAATATTTCCCGGTATCGCTGTTTCATCAAAACTTGTACCTCAACTGTTTATGTTGATGATGACAATGTTTTAATCAGTATAACGGGTAGGTATGTTAAAAAATATATTTATTTTAATTTTACTTTTTTTCAATATTTTAAAACTAATTAGGTACGTATTAATTACTTGTACTGTAGATCACCTATGCAATGGGCCATGTTCTAATATCGACAGGCAAAAAGTGACAAATGCTTGTAAGCGAAAAGCAATAAATGATATAAGTGAAAGACCTCAAAAAATAATTTTGAATGAAATTCAATCAAATAACAGTGTTTCAACTTTTACGGTCAATGATGTCAATCTATACATAGATAATACTGACACATCTACCTCAAATGGCGAAGAATTTCTGATAATTAACGACCAAGAAACAAATATTATTATATTTTCTTGTGAAAAAAATTTAATTTTTCTATGCGAATCACATACAATTTTTGTCGACGGAACGTTTGAATTTGCCCAAAATATTTTACTCAGTTATTTACCATTCACGGCTTAAAGAACAATTTTTACGTACCTCTTGTTTTTTGTTTATTGAAGAATAAAAACTCTGAAACTTATACACAAGCTTTTAAATATATTCAAACTAAATGTTATGAAAAAAATTTGACTTTTGACCCAAAAAATGTAGCGGTCGATTTCGAGATTAGTATTTATAATGCTGTGTTACCTATTTGGCCTTCAACTAATCTTATTGGGTGCCATTTTCATTTAACACAAGCGTGGTATCGTAAAATTCAAGAGTTAGGACTTAGTTCAGAATATAAAGAAAACGGATGGTTAAGGACTACATTCGGATTAACATTTTTAGATCCTCAAGAAGTTTCAGATTCATTTGTCAACGATTTTATGTCTATAATACCAGAAGAGTCAGCATACTATAAATATGCTGATTATTTAACTGACAATTATATCTCAGAAAATAGTGTGTTTCCGCCAACAATATGGTCCAATTTTAGTGCAAGTATATCCAGAACAACAAATAATTTTTGAAACTTTCCACGCACATTTTAATGAACAATTTTATAAATCACATCCAAATATTAATACATTTTTAAAAATTTTAATCTTGAATGTTCAAAAAAACGTCTACATTCAAATTAACAGTTGCAACTTAGGTATGCAAAAACCTGTTAGATGTAATGTAAAAAAACGACTAATAAAAACAACAAACGCAATAGACGAATACAAAAGTAAAACAATTTCAAGAATGACATTTTTAAAAAAGGTATACAATAATTATTCAAAATAATAATTAATAATTAATTATATAGAAGTATAGAACTACTACTAGATATATTAATAAATTGACTTAATTTAATTCAAATTCAAATTCAAATTTTTAACTTAAATCCAAAATTTAAGTCAAATAATTGTTGGGGGTCAATGAGAACCACCTCCTTGTGGTGGCCCCTGGGTAATTCTAAATGGTTCTCAAACTATAATTTAGACAGGTAGGTAGAAATGGATTTGGCGGAAATGAAAATCAAACCTTTTTCGTTTTGGCGGAAACAATAATTGGCGGAAACGAAAATGGAGTTTTTTGGCGGAAATGACTGACGCCCGTACCAGGTTGTAAGTCTGGTACAAAAACGTGCGGTGCGATCTGTAATAACCTAACCTGGTGAAAAAAATAAAATATAATAATTATTTAAAGTGGATACAAAAAAATACATACCATGAGCATTTTTCAAATGTTTATTGAGGTTGGCCTTGTAACTGAATGTAATGCCACACCTAATACACGGTAAACTGTCGGATATCTGTAAAAATACTCGATAACGTTATTTGGCCGCCGGAACGTTATCGCCAATAATTGTCGCCGGTCATTACGGTCGTTTCTAGAATATTCGATACCCCCGCCCCGCCTGTGCCATCTCTGTCACTGCCTGCCGTCTCATCGCGAAACCGTCAACGTCAAGTCAGTGACCCTCCGTCGATCACCCGCGGCACGTTGTACCAGGTGTACTTGTCGGCCGCAACCTTTGCAACGGCACCGTTGGTCTTGTGTTTTGTGTGCACGTGTTTTGTTCGGTGGCCGTCGCCATTAAACATCGCGCGGAGTATCGGCGACGTGAAAATTGTGGTGCCCGTTCTCGAATTCGACGTGACCTTTCCTGGTGTCTTCCGTTGACGACATTGAATACCTACCACGCCGCATGGGTGCCAATCGTGTACCCAGTCGTCGCCGCGGATAATAATACTTACGGTTTAACGTATCTAACTACAAGTTGTTGCGCTGCCCATTTTGTCACCTACAATAAGTATTTCATAAGACTTGTAGAAGCTGTTTCTGGTTGTTGGCAACTTCCAGTAGTCAAGCTTTGTTTCTTTTTTATTGTATTTTGTTTTTTCCAAATGTTATCATTAACACTTTGATTTGTTTCTAAATTGTCATTGTTCATAGAAGTATCGTTTAGGGCATCATGTATTTCTTCTGTGTTTCTATCTTCTTTAGAACTGTCACTAAGATTACATGATAAATTTGTAATAGTGTCTCGTTCTTGTAAAAACTCTTGTAAAAACTGCAAGTTATCTTCATATTTATATTTCTTAATTTTTTTTGGTGCAGCTTGTCCTGATGTGGTTTTGTTTCGTTTTATTGCTCTCCTATTAAAAAATAGAAATCTTCTTAAATTGTTCCATCGATTTTTGCATGCAATAGCTATCAAACAATTCAAAATCAATTAAAAATTTCGTTTTTGAGTACAAAATAATCTTTAGCTTGGGTGGTCAAAAGTCAAAAATTCCAAGTACTTAAAAAAAATAGGAACTCACTCTGCTATGTAGTAGGGTCGTCCTTGAGTAGGTCACTGTGATATATAGGAAGGTGTTAAAATTTAATTAAATGATAAATCATTGTATACGAAGAAAAACGTAGATGATTTGTCAGCCTAAGTTATTTTATTTATTTATTTTATGTGTAAAATAATTTGATAATAAATCGTTATTTTAAAATCGTGTTATTTATGCTTAAATTTTTGATTTTTTGTTATATTAGACAAACATTAAAATTTTTAAACTAATTTAAATTATTTTAACATATTCATTTTTAAACTCTTAATTATATGAATTCAAAAAATTTATACATTTTGAACTAGAAAATAATTTGCAAATATTCGTGATTTTGACAAATTTTGTCAATATCTGAACTTTAAACGCTTTTAAAAAAAAATTGTGCCCATGTATTTTGATAATTTTTTAATCACTCATAGATTAACTTATGTAAAACCTTCTATTAAATTTTGACTCGGCAAAAAAAAATTTATCGACATTTATAAAAAATTTGAATATTTTAAATGCTTATAAATAGCAGAAAAATTAACGAAATATTTTGAAAAAAAAATCATTCAAAGAAAATGTCACTTTAAACATCTGGTAGAAGTTTCAAGTTTTATGACTTATACTTTTTGAATAAAAACAAATATCAAAAATCGTTAGAGGCCTAATCGTTATTTTACTCGACCACTACTATACAGCAGAGTGACTTACCCAGTTTTTTTTATGAGGAACCTTTATTACATTTTCAAGTTTTTTATCTAATAAAAATATATTTTAAAATTATAGGTACTTAGCAACCGGAGATTCGATGAGAAGTATTTCATTTAGTTATCGTTTAGGAGTTTCTACGGTATATACAATTATTGTAGAGGTATGTAACGCAATTATTGAAATTATAATGCCCGAAGTCATGGCTGCACCAAATGAACAAAAATGGAAAGAAATAGCTTCAGAATTTTGGACTTCCTGGAATTTTCCAAATTGCTTAGGTGCAATCGATGGGAAGCATGTAACATTGTAACAATTCAAGCACCTTCTAACAGCGGCTCACAGTATTTTTGTTACAAAAAAACATTTTCTGTTGTATTATTAGCACTGGTCGACGCGCATTACAATTTTATAGCTGTAGATGTAGGATGCTATGGCAAAAATAGCGATGATGGTATTTTGAACCACTCAATGTTGGGAAAAGCTTTAGAGCAAAATAAACTGGATATACCAGAAAAAGCAGCATTGCCAGGTACAACAAATGAAGTACCATTCGTTATAATTGGGGACGAAACATTCCCCTTAAAAACTTATTTGTTAAGACCATATCCTGGCAAAAATCTTGATTACAATGAAAAAAGAATATATAATTATCGAATTTGTCGTGCTAGGAGAGTCGTAGAGAACGCCTTTGGAATATTATCACAAAAATTTCGAATATATAATAGGCGAATTCAAGCCAAACCTGAAAATGTTGATGTCATAATAATATCTACATGCATACTGCATAATGTTATTAAAAAGTACGATGGTAAACTAACCTATATACGAGATAATCAGCAATTCAATGCAGATCAATTAAGTGTAACTACACTAACAAATATTCCTATTCGAGGAGGAAATGCAACTCGGGAAGCATTTTTTATAAGAAACACTTTTAAAGATTTTTTTAACTCGTCCATAGGGTCAATCCCATGGCAAAATAATGTTTAATTTTTTTTAAATTTGTTATGCAATAAAACAATTAATGTTAAGTATTAGTTAAGATTATAATAGGGTTCATTTCAGTATACAAATTGAAATTGTAATAAATACTACTACACATTTATATAATTTTCTTAATTAGTAATTAAATAATAATAATTAATAATGTAATTTATATTATGTTACTTCTACTTCTAATTTCTATTTAAATATATATTATATATTATTATTATATATATTATTATTATATATTATATTATATTATGTTACTTCTACTTTAATAAATTACTTATTTAATATTTTAAAAGTTACTGGTTTGATTTAGTTCATCAGCAATACTTTTCCAAATTTTATCCTTACATGTACTGTCACTATATTTTGAATGACTCAAGTCATATAGTTCGTTATGCGTTCTTACGAGTTCAATTAATTTTTCGTTGTTCATCTTGAGATTTGTAAAGAAAATTTAGTGAATAGTGTCTTAAAAAAACGAGTATATAGTATATACTTACAACTGACTGTACTAATTGACGTATACAAAATAATAAAAATTAAAAACTTCTCAATGATAGGTGTCGAACATACACAATCATGCACATTGACTTCGGATACCTGTTCAGGCATATTCATACATGCATATTCATGGATATAGGTTAGGTTCATACAGGTTCGATTCGGCACCGTTCCGTATCCAAACTTGTCCGAGCTCGGACAGAAAATCGGTCAGCGACAATATTTTTTTGATCGGAGAGAGCTCGGAAAGCTCGGAACGGACGTGTGTGAATACATCCATTTCAAAACAAGAAGTTCATATTTCCGAGTACACGGATGCCCTGACGGATCGGACTCGGAACGGACCCGGATCGGATGTGTGTGAAAGGACCTTTAGCCGAAGTTTTAAAAGCGCGGTTTTCCGATGAATATTCCACATTCGGTATATTATATGTTGCTTCAAGCTTTAAATTAAATTTGATCGGATTTTTATTATATAAAAATGATATATTATATATTTTATGTTGTGTAATTTGACTAGTTTGAATTTAATCGAATCGAGAAAGTAGGTATAGTTTTGAATATATTCTAAGTTATACCAGGTGATAATATTGTTTGATGATGTAGATATTTATGTAAACCCTAGAGATTTTTTTCCCCTAACAGCGGATTTAGTGATGGTGGAACACGTTTGCCGTTATCGAGTGTAGTGTATGAATCTTTAAAAAAAAAAAACTATTTAGCTTATAGCGCGTTTATAAAAAGAAATAGCTAACCTTGAAAATCATAAAGTCCAAGATTCTCAACGGTGTCCAAAACTTCCAAGCATTCCTCATCATTCACGATACTCCAAAATTCATCCATCGTGCTATCTCGCATGGGTGATAAGCGAACATTTTGTTTAGTTGATACACAATCTTTACGAGCAGACGCTGTACCAGGGGGCGGTCATCGTTTCCGCCAAAAAACTCTATTTTCGTTTCCACCAAAACGAAAAAAGTTTGATTTTCATTTCCGCCAAATCTATTTCTACCTATATTATTGAGCTGGAGTTTGAGAACCCCTAGTCTGTCTGTAGTGCTATCGACCATCGATGTACATATACCATGTCGATAAGCCATTGTATATTGAAGATATCATAAAGAGATAATTGATTTTAAACGTAGAAATACCTACATAATATTACAAATAAATATAAATCGATTTGATCCATATCACGTGTAGATATATCAGCAGTGACTGTGTTATCGGGATCGGAGTTCTGTGATCGGATCTGTACTCACAGTACTGTGGTAACAACGACGAAATTAGGAGTCCACGTGAATCATGAATAATATACGTTTATTAATTATTGAATAGTATATTGGAATATTATGGAATTCATAACGAGTAAACGTGGTAAAAAAATGATTGTGATTGATGGGTTCAAATTTAATTTTTCGTACAAATCTGTCCAAAAAATATTTCCCGGTATCGCTGTTTCATCAAAACTTGTACCTCAACTGTTTATGTTGATGATGACAATGTTTTAATCAGTATAACGGGTAGGTATGTTAAAAAATATATTTATTTTAATTTTACTTTTTTTCAATATTTTAAAACTAATTAGGTACGTATTAATTACTTGTACTGTAGATCACCTATGCAATGGGCCATGTTCTAATATCGACAGGCAAAAAGTGACAAATGCTTGTAAGCGAAAAGCAATAAATGATATAAGTGAAAGACCTCAAAAAATAATTTTGAATGAAATTCAATCAAATAACAGTGTTTCAACTTTTACGGTCAATGATGTCAATCTATACATAGATAATACTGACACATCTACCTCAAATGGCGAAGAATTTCTGATAATTAACGACCAAGAAACAAATATTATTATATTTTCTTGTGAAAAAAATTTAATTTTTCTATGCGAATCACATACAATTTTTGTCGACGGAACGTTTGAATTTGCCCAAAATATTTTACTCAGTTATTTACCATTCACGGCTTAAAGAACAATTTTTACGTACCTCTTGTTTTTTGTTTATTGAAGAATAAAAACTCTGAAACTTATACACAAGCTTTTAAATATATTCAAACTAAATGTTATGAAAAAAATTTGACTTTTGACCCAAAAAATGTAGCGGTCGATTTCGAGATTAGTATTTATAATGCTGTGTTACCTATTTGGCCTTCAACTAATCTTATTGGGTGCCATTTTCATTTAACACAAGCGTGGTATCGTAAAATTCAAGAGTTAGGACTTAGTTCAGAATATAAAGAAAACGGATGGTTAAGGACTACATTCGGATTAACATTTTTAGATCCTCAAGAAGTTTCAGATTCATTTGTCAACGATTTTATGTCTATAATACCAGAAGAGTCAGCATACTATAAATATGCTGATTATTTAACTGACAATTATATCTCAGAAAATAGTGTGTTTCCGCCAACAATATGGTCCAATTTTAGTGCAAGTATATCCAGAACAACAAATAATTTTTGAAACTTTCCACGCACATTTTAATGAACAATTTTATAAATCACATCCAAATATTAATACATTTTTAAAAATTTTAATCTTGAATGTTCAAAAAAACGTCTACATTCAAATTAACAGTTGCAACTTAGGTATGCAAAAACCTGTTAGATGTAATGTAAAAAAACGACTAATAAAAACAACAAACGCAATAGACGAATACAAAAGTAAAACAATTTCAAGAATGACATTTTTAAAAAAGGTATACAATAATTATTCAAAATAATAATTAATAATTAATTATATAGAAGTATAGAACTACTACTAGATATATTAATAAATTGACTTAATTTAATTCAAATTCAAATTCAAATTTTTAACTTAAATCCAAAATTTAAGTCAAATAATTGTTGGGGGTCAATGAGAACCACCTCCTTGTGGTGGCCCCTGGGTAATTCTAAATGGTTCTCAAACTATAATTTAGACAGGTAGGTAGAAATGGATTTGGCGGAAATGAAAATCAAACCTTTTTCGTTTTGGCGGAAACAATAATTGGCGGAAACGAAAATGGAGTTTTTTGGCGGAAATGACTGACGCCCGTACCAGGTTGTAAGTCTGGTACAAAAACGTGCGGTGCGATCTGTAATAACCTAACCTGGTGAAAAAAATAAAATATAATAATTATTTAAAGTGGATACAAAAAAATACATACCATGAGCATTTTTCAAATGTTTATTGAGGTTGGCCTTGTAACTGAATGTAATGCCACACCTAATACACGGTAAACTGTCGGATATCTGTAAAAATACTCGATAACGTTATTTGGCCGCCGGAACGTTATCGCCAATAATTGTCGCCGGTCATTACGGTCGTTTCTAGAATATTCGATACCCCCGCCCCGCCTGTGCCATCTCTGTCACTGCCTGCCGTCTCATCGCGAAACCGTCAACGTCAAGTCAGTGACCCTCCGTCGATCACCCGCGGCACGTTGTACCAGGTGTACTTGTCGGCCGCAACCTTTGCAACGGCACCGTTGGTCTTGTGTTTTGTGTGCACGTGTTTTGTTCGGTGGCCGTCGCCATTAAACATCGCGCGGAGTATCGGCGACGTGAAAATTGTGGTGCCCGTTCTCGAATTCGACGTGACCTTTCCTGGTGTCTTCCGTTGACGACATTGAATACCTACCACGCCGCATGGGTGCCAATCGTGTACCCAGTCGTCGCCGCGGATAATAATACTTACGGTTTAACGTATCTAACTACAAGTTGTTGCGCTGCCCATTTTGTCACCTGCATTTTTCGTCTCGGGAAGACAAATATCGAGGAGACCGGTGATTATACCATCATATTATTTATTATTGTAACTAGTACTATCTCTCTACAGGATGATATTGTAATTTCATATATTTTGTAATTATATTATTAATTGTATTTATATTTATGTGTGTCAATTAGTGGGCGCCCATCCATTATAAAGATATAAAATTGTAATATTATATGTAAAATAGTAAGGCGGTGCCTTTTGGCTCGTCATTAAAACCTAGAATTCTTGTAGTTTTCATTCCTATTTATATTTAAGTTAATTATAAGGTGTCCACCTTTCTCTGTGTCTTGCGTTGCGGTGCTTATCGCAGTAATATTTGTTCGGTCAGAGCGTGGGGCAATAAAACCTTGCTAGAATATATTATTATTAAGTGTAGCCGAGTCGGTCGATCTCCTCTGGGTCGGCAATAAGGACTTTGTGCGACATTTCTGGTAGCAGAGCGTGGTTACGTCCACATCTTATTTATTGTATTGTGTAGGATCTATGGGCCCGTCCTTAAGTTAAGCGCATTACTTGTGTCTTATTATTTTGATTTTGCATTTTATAATATTTGTATTATTATTGCGTAAAAAAATAAAAGCGCGCATCTAGTCGTGATTGAAATATTTTGTTTCACGTTCATTATTTTATTATTATTACGCGAAAACGCGCGCTTCGTGTCGCGCGTAATTATTTCGGTTCGACGATTGTTAATGTCAATATTATCAATTCGCATAATCGCGTTACCTGTCGTGTCTATTTATTTTTATTTGCGTTATTGATTTTAATTATTATTTTTTCACGTAAAAGCGTTCTATTGCTGTATGATTTGTTATATCTTGATTTTGCGTCTAATAATTTATTATTATTATTTGTCGCGTTAAGCGCGCTACTTGCCGCGCTCTTTTTTTAAAAAAAAAAAAAAAAAAAAAAGCGCATTACTCGTGTCTATTTATTTTTATTTGCGTTATTGATTTTAATTATTATTATTTCGCGTAAAAGCGTTCTATTGCTGTATGAGTTATTACATCTTGATTTTGCGTCTAATAATTTATTATTATTATTTGTCGCGTTAAGCGCGCTACTTGCCGCGCTCTCTTTTTTTTTTTTTTTTTTTTTTTAATTTGTTGAATAATGTTGATCACTTTGTCGCGTTAAGCGCGCCCTTGGTCGCGTGATAATCTACT